AGTACTAACGATGGAGCAGCAACACTGTTGTGTGTCTTCTTATCCTACTATGCACATAATTATTTTTGAACCAATCAGTAATTTCACTGGCTTTTCCAGGAAAATATGACTTTAATTTATTAAAAGCTCCTGAAATGTCATCAGCTGGAAGGAATACCAGTGACAGCAAATGATGCACTTTTAAACTAAAGTTTTCATCATTGCCATAACGCATGGCCGATCCACTCATCTGAATTTTCTACCAAATGCATTGGGCTAAATGGAAAAAATAAACTTTATTGGTAACAATTTGAAATTCACTTCTAGAAGCCTTAATCATGCATAATTCCAAATCTGTCATTATAGTTGGGAATTCAATTAAACATTGGGGATTTAGATTTTCAGGATTTTGATCTTATGGGATTTCAACATTCAGGATTATGGTGTTTGGGATTGTGCTGGGATTATGATCTAAACCTGGTATTAGCAGCAGCTGTAGGCTACCTTAATTTCACGAAATAGATATCAATACTGCTACTGCTATGTTTTCTGCTTCCTTTGGCCATCTAAGTGAAGAAAATTGTAACTTTTGCTTGTACCTGTACCTTGCCATCACACACATCTATTCCTTATTTTAATTACCATTTAACAACAACCTGGGAAGAGCAAAGTTCCTGAAGAGAGATTATGTTAGGCAGATCCTTGATCTGATCCAAGACTTGGCACTGGGAAGCTTTCCTTTTAGCTGTTTTTGGCACTATGATGCCAGATGAAAATTTTAGCTATTTTTACATGGATTTTATCTTTCTTAATAAATTATTAGGTTTCTTAATAAATTATTATCTTTCTTATAAATTATTAAGTTTCTTAAGAGGATGAGCATGTCAAATGTAGTCTTTTGAAGATCTATATTCAATAAATGTTACATGCTTAAAAAATTCTTTTAATATTGATTCATATTTATTTTTATTTATTTGAAATAATCACACCATACTTATTCAAAAAGTTAAAGAATAATTTTTTTCTGGAGTTTTGTCAGGTGTTTTTTTCCCAACATGTTTTTTTGTAAAACATAATGTGTTCAAAGGTATTTGCATGTATTTTAAATTTGTGTTTTTAGAAAATTCAATAGAAACTCCAAAGAATCTTATATTTTATTGAGTGTTTTTGAGCTAAGTATGTTGGTGTACCTTTTCAAATATTTACCAGTTGTTCTAATCAGCTATTTTCTCTTTTGTTTTGCACTAGTGATTTTTAACAAATAATGATACTTGACAGTTTAGAAAGATAATATGATATTTTCAACCACTCATTTTTGAATAAGCTTTTTCATTTTTCAGATTATATTCATCTCTAATCATAAAATATGTTTTAATCTATGAATTTCTATTTGATTAAAACCTAAGTTGCATCCCTTTAGGCTCTATATGTAGTGTTGATGTCTTGTTTGTTAAAAAAATGGATCGAAATGTTATTATCTCCTCTGATCCATGTGAGATTTAATGGATTATATTCCAAAAATGTTAGGGATTATATTTTTAAAATAATTCTTTATAATATTTTTTCTTCAAAAAATTTTAATACTTATGTAATGATTATTAAAGTCTAAAATTTTGGTGTAACTAGGTACAGCCTACATAGTTACACCAAAATTAGGAAAAATTTCTTATCACTTTTATGACAGAATTGTTCACATTTATTACTACTTACTCTATTCTTAAAAGCACCTTCATATTATGTCTTATGTTAAAATAAATAATTTTAAATATTTATCTCTAAAATTTCCTTTGAGATTTTTCTCTAAATATATTTTAAAAATTGTGATCAATTGAACCAAACATCATCTAAGGGAGGAGAGTATGAAGCTATAGCTACTTGGTGAGGGACTTTCCTTTTTGTAGAAGGTATAAATGATTTAATGGAAAATTACCTTTCAATATACCTTTCTCTGTTTATTATGACCAAATTCCTAAAATTAATATTATCTATGTTCCTGGAACTACAAAATGAAAAGCATTCTGAGAGATTTTGTGAGTCTAACTCTTTCTAACCTCTCGAATGGTCTATAGTCTAAACAAGCTTTTCCCAAGGGTAATATACTACAAGATTAGCTCACACACTACTTCTCTGTCATGACTTTCTACCATAATAGCTTATGAAAAGTTATGCCACCATCTGCATAATGATTATTTTTCTTTATGTAATATTGTTCATGTAGAACACTAAATAAATATGTGACATTTTGGCATTATTGTTTAGGCAAAAATATACTCATCATTTCACTCAATAATATTTTCCTGTCAGAATATATTATAGGGAACAAATTTGAATTTTACAGCCTATTGTGTGGTGGACATACCCAAGGTGTACATATTCATCTTTCATGACCCTTTAGAGTTGAATAGCATTTATGGTATTTCCATGTGGCTTAAAGCATGTTTATATTTAGATTTTTTTAACACAAAGTGTGATTTTCTGTGCTACAGCTTTTTAAAGTGCAATGTCAATTAAAAATAATGATAAACCTATAAAACTTTGGAACATTAATGATGAAAATGCCACAGATAGAAGAACATCCTTCCAATGCATAACTTCCTTACAAGTCTCTTCTACCAACATTGATTCTTTTCTTTTCCTCTTCTGAAGGACATGATAAATCTTTGTTACATTACATTTTATATACAAACCATATATATTTAAATTCAAATTGTGGTTTATTATTTACGTAAACTTGTTTTTATTTTTAAGTAAATTTTTTTTCTTCCATGTATGAAAATTGTTTATGTATCCTGAGTTAGGATTAAACATATCATAAATTTTTTGGATTAAAACTAATGGAATTTTTGGCAGATTTTTTTAAAATTAAAAATCAAATTAAAGTTGTTGTAGGGGACAGATAAATGTGGAAATGTTTTAGTCATGTCCTATGAAATATTTATAAGAAATTTTATGATTTCCAAGATGTATGTAATTATCAGATTTTAGGTAAAATCTTTAAATTTCTAAATGTTGGAAAAACATGTTTTAAAAATCTGGCAGCCAAACATATCACATCTAGGCATCAAATATAGCATAAAGCTCACTGGTTATTATCCTATAAAAATATTTACAAAATTATGATCATAGTGTTTATAGCTTTATCTTTTTCTACTTAATGTGTCACAGTGAAGATTTTTCTTATATCTCTGAATATTCTTTATAAACAGGATTTAAGAGCTTATTACTGTTCATCTTATAATTTATTATAATTCATTTGTCATCTTTAGAGTTTCCACTTTCTCATTATAATATATAATGGTGTGATAAAAATTCTTGTACATATATTAGTTTGCACCTGACTATTCGCATAGACTCAAGTCTTGAATATGGTATTAATGGGTCAAAGGGAATATATATTTTAGCCATGTGGCCATATATTTTAAATTTTACCTCCAGTAGTGGTCTATGGTCTATTAGGGACCAGGCCACAGAGGTATGTGCAACCTTTTTTAATGACATACAAACCAACTCAATCTTTCCATTTTTTAATTTATTTATTTAGCCAATTATTCATCAAACAGTGAGTTCCACCTACATGTCAAAATTTTTAGAATATTTATTATAAATGTTGAAACTTATTTTATAGTGCCCATTAAATAAGCAATCACTTTGATGAAATTTTTTCATTTATAATTGCTTTATATTTGGTTATTTTAAATTGTCTTTCAGTTGTAATTTCACTCCAGCATTCATTAACGACTTCACTTTATAATTTTGTTTTTTCTTTAGTATGACTTGTTTTCAACATTTTCACTTTCTAAATAAATTGCTCTGCATATTCAATATATAATATATATATTTCTTTGCTGCCAAATTTGCATGATCAAATGGTTCTGGTAAAACAATGTTTGCCTACGTTAAGAACTATTGCTTCTGAGCCAAAGATATGCATAGTCACTTAGAGAAAGATATATGGGATGTTTAACAATTCAAAATTGAGAAATTTCAAGGTGAGTTAGATTACAGAGAAGTTTTTTTTTTTTTTTTTAGAAGGCATTTAAAATTAATTAATGTTGTATTTCCTTTCTGGTTAATTCACTATTACAGTAATATCTTTAGGGCATGCCCCTAAATAGATGTACAAAATTAAAATGTTATAGAGCTTAAGTTGAATTTTTTGTCTGTTTAATCAAAAACTGGCAAGAGTACTGACTTACATATGTTACTAATTAAAAAGTCATGAGTGCAAAGATGTTTGTTTCATCTCCTTTTAAATCTTCATTACCTGAAACAGTGCCTGGAATATAATATTTATCGAATGCATATCTTTCTCAATAATAACATCACTAATCATAATTATATACTAGATATTCAACAATAATAGCACTTTACTTTAGGATTCCCTTTATATTACAGAAAAGATGTTGACATATATTAGGTTTTGCATTAGAAATTCATATTTACCAGATATATATTATTACCATTTTAAAAGAGTTAAGGGAGAAGCATGATGAATAATAAGTCAAAATTTTATCTCATTATACATATAAGTTGGCCCTTGAAGAATGGAATTTTTTTTTTTCTCAGGAAAATAATAGGGGACCAATTTCAGAAGATGTGGCAGCATACACAAAAGCATGGAGATGTGGAAATATATGGCACATTTGGATAATAGTACACTTTGTCCTGGCTCACATTAACCATCTCCTACTTGAAAATATTTCTTCTCTCTCCTTCAAAATATGGCTGAAAATTCATGTCATGAAGAAAGCAGGCTTCACTGGTTTTATTAATATTCTCTCTATAAATTCCAGCCATTTTACCTCTATCAGTGATAAATAGAGAATTGTAAAGGAACTACACTTAGCCTCCTTTAACCCCTCACTCAGAATACCCAGCTCACTTATAGCACAAAGGGGAACAGAGTATATATTGACTGGCTGTTTCAGGTTTAAATATTTCTGTAAAACATAAATCCAGTGAAATTGCACTGCCAGATTCTTGGGTTATTTACAATATATCTTTTTCTATGTTGTAGTTGTTTGATTTGAAGAAGAAAAGATCTACACGTCATGCATGAGCAATCTGTGGGAGGAAATGAATAATGATTAGGCCTGTATGCTGATTTGTATCTGGATCAGGTGAGATTGTAGGGAAGGTGATCTGTCATATTGATTTTTCTGTTCTTAAATTTTCATTAAAACACTGAATGATTTACTTAACTTATTTGTTTTATATTCTGTTCAATAAGGTTTCCGTAGGTGCTTATTATTTTAAACAACTCGGCAGTTCTTCATAGTAGAGATTTATGAAGTGCTTTTGCCAGTTATCAAATGAATGATATGTTTCTTAAAACAATATCTTTTCAAAGTCAAATGGTTGTCAAATAAATTCTTTTATCATCTAAATAATTTCTCCTCCTAATTTAACAGTTATTTCAGAGTTAGCCACAAAATCACATTAAGTAATTCAGTATTTGCAGTGCCTAGAAACAATTGCCCTACAGAAGATCAAGCAAGCACCATATCCTTTAGAAGAATCGTAAGACAAAAGCTGCTGCCCTTCCACAGTGATTAGATTTATTATTTATTTATAAATTAATTTTAAGGTAGTGCCATAGGAAACAGTAATTCATTTTGACACAGATCATAGAATCAGAAATAACATAATATACTAAATTATATACATATTTAAATATATTTAAGCATATATAAATTTAAATGAAATTACATATTATTATTTATATTACTATCAGGTTTACATTAACATTGATACAACACTTTCCTATTTCTTCTATACATATATCTATTTCAATTATGTGACCTCTTTTAGAGCTATTATATTAAATGACTACTAGCCACTGCAATTTTTGTCACATGGAATTTTTTATGTTGGAGTTTAGTCTCTTTAGCAGTATGTACTATGAAGTTTTTCCTGTGTATAATGCGGTAAAAAAGCAGTTTAATGTTTTAAATGTCATTTTAAATGACTAATTTTAATGGCTCTGTATTGTGAATAATTGTATGCCACAATCACGTTTGTCAAAGAGTCATGCTACTAAAAGGCATATACACATTTGTATGCATTGAAATGTTTCATTTTCACAATGTTATTAGTGATGAAGTCTTTTATTCAGAATCCCCACAGTCAGGTATACAAGTCCCATCACCCTTTTACATTCTGTGTGTTCCTTTTTTCTGTAAGTATTCCAATACTATGAATTTAAACCTTTATAGTGGCTGATTTCTTTTTTGTATTTTCTTTAAATTCAAGTTTAAGTAAAAGTTTTTCTTCTCAGGTTTAAGCATAAATTCAAAATATATTTCTGACTTTTGATACTCATAATAGATTAATGTTACATTTTGCCATATGTAAAAATATGAATAATTATTTGATATTATATAAATAAAATACTTAATACTTTAGTTTTTATAATTTAAATTAATTTTTTGTGAAAAATGTGAAGATTTCTTTATGATGAAGAAAGAAATATGAAGCAGACTTTTTGCTATTTGCAGTTACCAGGGATGGTGGAATGGACCTGCTCCACAGACAGGAAAGGCAGGTAAAAGATGACTGAAATATGACTGGATAATTCATTGAAAATAAATGAGTGAAAATGCAGAAATTAAATTAGTAAAAATGTACAACTAAAATATGAGCAGGCAAATAAAAAAAACTTTCATTTATGTGATCTCCTGTACCCTGTTTCCAACTCCTAATTATTAGAGATACTACTCAGAACCTTCTACTATTATTTTTAGAAATGAGATTGAACTCAGTCCAATGGCACGTAGTATGCTAATTGACAGATTATATTCAAAATAAAACAAAATAAAACAGAATACAAAAAAAGTCAGCTATGTGAGCCATCCTAAACTACTCTATATATTTCCTTTTCCTGGATACAAATCACAGTATGAAAAAAATACTTGAAACATAAAAATAATTGATTCTCTTAGTCAGATAAATGTTTAATGTTCATGTTATATGTTTATATTTTCTTAAAATAGTATTATTGATAAGATTTTCAGCCCACTTTTTATTAAAATATGATTAAAATCAATTGCAATGATGGCTGATTCATGTAATTTTGTTATAAAAGAAAAAGATATTTTTATATAATTGTCTGGAATTCCTTGGTATGAAGACTAAGCTCTTGATTTCACTTAACATGATTCAGAAAATGAGAAAGGCTTATATAGAGTTAAATAATGAAATGGTTAAGAAAAATCTGTTTACAGTATTTCTCAAATGTATTAAAACATTTGCTAACTTTTCTTTCATGGCATATATAATAGTTTTATTTTTGTTATACTTCATGCTAATATCAATCTGAGTTATGAAAAATGTCCTTAGTGATATTTGAATGTTTTTATTTTCAATATTGTCCAAGATTCTCCTAACATTCTATTGGATAAATGAATAGAAAATTAAGTTATTCTGAACTACTATTAAATGGTAATAATCTACTACATCTGAAACTTTTTTCAATCAATTATTTAAATTTTGTATTAATGTTACTGAGATTACCCTAATCTTAATGTTAATATCAATATTTATCATTAATAACAATAATAATAATAATGTTAATACTATTAAAATGTTAATGATTTTATACTAAAACAAATAATATAAAGAGATAATACTAAAATTTAAGCTGTAACAAGTGGGCTTTGTCATTAAAATAATAAGTAAAAGCCTATCTTTCAGTCTTAGTTTATATTTTATATATGTGGAGGATCAAGTCAATAAACCTCTGTTTAAGTAAAAAGTAAAAAAAAAGGGTTCACTTTTATTTTGTGGGGACTTAAATCATAATAGTGTAATCTATTGAGAATGAAATGAAAATTGATATGCAATATTTCTAAGTAAAGTAAAAATGAAGAATAACGTATGATGTATTTTGAAAGAACAAAAGTTTAGTAAACTGCTGCAAACAAATAGTCCTTGACAAAGGTTATTCCTGGATGAAACAACACAATTAAAGATTAGTCATTTCAGTAAATGGCTTAATCAATATTGCATTTGTTTGCTAGGCACCAAAAGCTTTAACTAAATTTTTGAAAAAAATTAAATGGATGCTTTGGCATTCATCAGGAAAAATAATTTGAAAAATGTTTTTCTATTAAGTATTTTGTTGCTTTGGCACAGTCAATTATAGTGTCCAAATGAATTCACAATTCTAGAGAGTCAAGTAATACCCTCTTCTAGAGAATGGAAGTATTGTAAATACATAGAATAAACTCACTCTACATGTTTTAGTACATAGAATATGTATGAGTTACTAAAAGCTGTATACAAAATTACTATGCTGAGTTGGATATGTAAATAAACATGACGGAGCTAAAAAAGATCAAAACAAGCAAGTTATATTTGAAGCTTTATTTAAAATATATTTGTCTTTTAAAGACATCTCACCTCCATACACAGATACATAAAAGGAATTTACCTTGGTGGCCAAATACACAGATACAGACACAGACAAACACACAAATATATCCATACATGCACACACACAATAATGCATCTTTCTGGCACTTTACCATTTAATGAATTTTGAATATTTACTGATTAATGTATATCTTTTAGATGAAAAATGCCATACATGATGAGTTTAATAAAGACATGATTAGTAAGGATATTTTATTGTATTTTCATGGATATTTCTTTAAAATAAGACATGAATAATTTAATATAAATCCACTGACTACTTGCCCACATGATTTCCACTTAAGTTGCATCTCAACATATCACATGATCAATGGGAAATGCAAAATGAAATGAAGATGTGTCCAATTATATATGTACCATTATATATGCAATAAAACATAAAGTAATAGAAGAGATCTATTGTTAAAATAATAGTGTAGTATCTAATCTGGGAAATTTTCTGTTTCAGCAATAGGCACCAAAGCAATTTATAACAGAAGCAATGGCATCTTTTGTACAGTTTCTATGTAACTAACAGCCTTACTATAATGTCATATATGGAAAAATTCAACTCTCTGGTTCTTACAACAGAAAGCAAAATGAATTAGAAGTTGGATAAACTTTACTGTATCTCATTTTTCATTTCAAATTTTTATCATCTCTAATATCAACAGGGATTACATTCATAACATCATGGGGATTTCTACCATTGAAAGTGTTTTGCCAATACCAACACTCATAACATATGGTATTATGACTATTAAGACCAATTTTTAAAATAGTTAACATTTGCACATGTAATTCAGTGAACTGTACTGAACTCAATTAACACAATGCAATTCTTGCAGAGCTTCACCAAGAAAAAATGAATTATTAATAATATACTTTTGTCTGGCAATGTTTTCTTCTATCGTGTTCATTTCAGATTACCCAATTGCATCAGTTTTAATTTAAGTCCAGAATATATTTTACCTTACACTTTCCCTCAGTCTACTTTAATATTTCTTATATCCTTAATAGCGTGTTAACTATGTGCATGTATATAGAGATATAGAAATATGGTACTATCATATTCTTTGTCTGATTGATATGTTCCTAAATATGTTTATTCTTATCCTCTCAGCACTGCCTAAAAATTTCCCTGCTCCCCACACACTTGTATCAAGAGGAAGTCAGGTAGAGATAATAATATTAAGTTAAGTCTATATAAAAAGCTGGGGAGATTTTAGGATAGAAGGCAAGATAATACTTTTTTGGTGGGATAAGGGCATGGTAGTAATAGGGAAAGCTAGGGTTAACACTAAAAAATCAGATTGCTTGCAAGACACATAAAGTAAGAGATCACAGTTGGTGAAACAAAAACAGCAAACGGATTTTAAAATCAAATTTTTCAAAGTTTTAATTTATATTGATAGCCAAAACATACTTAATCCTCACTGTCATAAATTGGAAAATTTATAAATATCTTTCTGTGATAATGGTGTTGAAACAGAAATGTGTGATACTTTTCCTCACCCAACATAAGGTCCACAGCCGAAACTCCTGTAGAGACAAATTAACGAGAAAAAAATCATAGCAAGATTATTTAATCAAAGTTTTACATGACCCATGAGCTTTTAGAAATGAAGACAAAGACCCAGGGAAAACTGTCTATTTTTATGCTTAAGTTCAATAAAGAATGTACAGCCATGTAGAAATGTGATTGGACAGAGGATATGATCTAGTGGTAACAGACTGAGGGGAGAAACCCAGCAATGCCTGTCCAGATTCTTCTTGGCCTCTCTGTGCAGCATTCTTTCCTTCCAGGAAAGGGGAAGGGCCCCTCTGGAGTGAGGATCTTCAGGGGAGAAGGGAAAGAGTAACCTTCTTAGGGTTCATGGCTTGCTTTGGGAGAGAGGAGTTCTAGTTTCTGTGATTCACCTTGGGGAAGAGGAATTCAGGTTTCTATGACTTGCTTTGGAAGAGAAAATGGGTGGGTCCTAGGAAAGCAGGAGAAGGTCAGAAGGAGACTTTGCCTCTGAGGCTCTTCCAGTGTCCCTCAGTTTAAAGTTCCCAGCATGCCAAAGCACCATACTTTGGGGTATCATGTTCTGAGTCCTAACAGTATCATGTCTAAAAGTCATATTAATTTATTTGTTTTAAATGAACCAAATTGTTTTCAAAACAGGCACATTCATGCACTGCTTGTAAAGTGTGAACAGATGCAACACATGGTGAAAATAATTTAATATAATATAACAAGAGCATTAAAACTGTCTTGACCTCTTAAACAAGTAATGAACCTATTAGAAATCAATTTTACTAAATAGAAATTTGACAATATTTCAAATAATACTATAATATTATTTTATGTTAAAAAAGTAGAAATAGAAGAAAAAACAAAATGCCATCAAGCCACTATACTATGTAGAAGTAGACATTTAAAAAATACACACATATATACATATATATATATATTAATTAGGTCATTACATATGAAATGTCCAATTTTGAATCAAATGTTTCATTTATTATATCTTAAACAAGAAACAGTACAATTAATCAATGTATATACCTAAACTATTGACAAAGGTTTTTCATCTTAATGATACCTCGTTTATGTCAAGAAGTATGGAGAGCGAGTGGTGATAAAATTGCGAAATGGGTTATTTACAGCTTGTTGAGAATTGAACATTTTCCTTGTAAGAAGGAGTCCAAAGCCTGGAAGAAGTGGTAGCCCGTTGGTGCAAGGTCTGGTGAATATGGTGAATGACAGAGAGTTTCTAAGTCTAGCCTCTGTAATTTGAGCACTGTTGACATGTGGTCAAGTGTGTTGTCTTGTTAGAGGATTGGCCTGTCTCTTTTTTTTTTTTTTTTTTTGAGGTAGAGTCTCACTGTTTTGCCCAGGTTAAAGTGCCATGGTGTCAACCTAGCTCACAGCAACCTCAAACTCCTGGGCTCAAGCAATCCTCCTGCCTCAGCCTCCCGAGTAGCTGGGACATGCACCATCGTGCCCAGCTAATTTTTTTCTATTTTTAGTTGTTTGGCTAATTCCTTTCTATTTATGGTAAAGATGGGGTCTCACTCTTGCTCAGGCTGGTCTCGAACTCCTGAGCTCAAAGGATCCACCCACTTCTGCCTCCCAGATTGTTA